CCCCAGAGCTATTATTATTATTGAACGGCACGTTTTAGAGTTCCCAATGACTGGGATTTTTCATACACAGTGTACAGCTTACTGACATTAGGCAGTTTAACACCTACTCTTTAATCGTCCTTTTAATCCACCACAAAAAAATGTTAATGCAAGAATTATTTTTAAAAAAGTTGTGTTCTCACAGGAACAACAACAAAATATTTGTGTAATATCTATTATTAACATCACAAAAGCCTTTGTAACACTCAAAATTCATTGTATTGTCCAGAACAAAACAAATTACAGCTATAAAAGACTGGAAATCCAGGAAGGTGAAGATACCTCCCCTGTGACAAACACAGCCTGTTATACCCAAATTGTCCAACCTGCATACGGGTATATGAGCTAGATCCACTTGTCAGGTTGTCCTCTGAACATCTTATTGAATCACTCAACATCAACCTTTCATCGCTCCTTAATTCAAATTCAGTGGTGTCACAATGCCGAAAACACAGCCAGACCTTCCTAATGGAAGGGATGTAATAATCCCTAATATGTAAGATAAGACCCTAATATAAGTGACTTCCTCAGTAGACATCTTATACCAATATACATATTTGATACATATGTTACTGAAACTAATACAACTTTTAGCAGGACCTTCCCAAAATACAATTATTTCTTATTCGCAGACCCACATAACCACTTCTTACTGAAAAGTTCAATATAATCAAGAAATCTTATTGAAGAGTTTGGTAAACTACAGCCATGGTATGCAAGCATCCCCAGCTCAAGTTCAAAGCACTGAGTTTATCCACAGATAAGCTGTGGATAAACTACGATATCTGAAAAACTACACACAGTCATCTCTGCGCTAGCAGGGCTTCTTTGAGCAAATCTAGGATGTTCTGTCAAGCTTTTAATTTAGCATCCTCTGTGGTAAAGTACAAGAAATAATATGTTTTCTTCCTCTTTCCTGCTGGCATAAGTATTCAGTCTCAGAAGGTTGTTTATGGGGAAGTTCAGAGCAGAAGCAGAGATTTGGTGTATGTGCCTCAAAAAAAGCAGGGAGTAAAACACAGCAATCCCGTTTCACACGCAGCAGGACAATGAAGGGGGCAAACATAGCTTTCCACAAAGATGGGCTACACCTCCCCAGGGAACCACTGCTGCCCAAACTGGCATGGATTTTACGTCGCCTTAGTGTTTTGGAAGTCAGCAGTACAATGCTGCCTTATTAATTCCCTCATGGGGTATGGGGTCCACAAACGACAGGCCTTGTGTAGATCTAGCAGTAGGCCTGACAATATGAGCTTCCAGTTAAGAAGACTGCAAGACTCTCTTAAGCCTCATTAAACCTTCAGTTTGTGCCAACAAATATGCCAGCCCATGCCAAATGTGAAACTGCAATGTAAAATCTCACCTTCTTCTAGGAACTGGAATGAAACCCATTTTCTCTGTCCCCCTCCCATTTTTTTCTTTATTTCCCCCCATAGAAATAAGTATTTAAGTAGAATGATGGTTTTGCATATAGTATCAAATGGAAATGGCACCCTTTCACTCAGAGGTCACTTCTGAACAGATGAAAAAGTAATTTGCACATATAAAATTACAGAGAGTCTGTACATAGTGTTGCTAGCATTAAAGGAATGGGAATATATTTTAAAAACTGAGTGGTATCTGCAAAGTTACAAAAAATTATTTGAAAAAATGCTTCAGCCATTATTATCAGCTCTGCTTTATTTTAGTTTAAATATTTTTCTTTGTATTTTGTATTGTGTAACTTCTGGTTTGTACCTTGTTAGCAGAAAGAACTGGAAAATAGCCAGTTAAAAGTTATCAGATTTCTTAAGAATGTAATAATTTTAACTTTTGTTTTC